GTATGGGAAATAATAATGAGCATGAAGTTATGTTAGCCACATCTGGAAAGTGTTGATCTCGCCACTCATATTTCTCTCCGCTACAACAAAAAGTGTAACTTGCTACATAAATTTGTCCTCACAAATAGTTGTGTGGTTGGAGTTACAATATGTTGAACTGAGATTACACTTCACAAAAAATGTCACAAATGCTGACACTTGTTTGTGTCGTGAAATCCAAACTAGAAGGAAAAACAGTAAAAAAAAAAGGTACTTGACACTTGCGCTGCTATTTTGTGTTGAGCTTTTAAACCTTTGAGAACAGAATCATATATACACCAATGGGAAATTAGTTCCATATCGTTTAGCCACAACAAAATTGAGTTGTTTAAATCTGATTGATGAAATGATGAGTCAATAGCTAGATTTGAAAACAGAGTCACTGAGCGACATTATTCAAACTGAGCTCAGTAATAAGACGATGTTTAGTTGAGCTCTTAAAAACTCAGTTGTGATTCATGTAAGTGGGCTTCAATTTGAATGGTGATAGGTGCAAGTGGACTGGGCTATTTTGCCATTAGAAATAAATTGAGGAGATTATATTTTATGGGTGAAATATTTTAAAAATAAAAAGTATGAATGTTATAGCAAAAGGGGAAAATTAAGGTAGGGAATTGAAATAGCAACTTGAGTGAACTGGAATGCGCCAACCAGATCCTCCACGATCACCTTGATCAAGTTCAAGCACTAGGCGACCTCCTTGGTCTGTTTTCGAACTATGACCTCCTCAGTCAGGCACGGATTTAGACTCAAATGTCTTGTGAATATTTTCAAAGAGCTAAAAAGAGCAGTATGTTCTGGTGTCGTGTAGAGAGCTTTATATGGGTCTTTAACCCAGCCTAAGAGTTGCTTGCTCATTAATAAGAGCAATCCAAGGTTCAGATCAGTTACACCTAATTAGCCCACTAACTAGTCTACTTAATAAGCCAATTAAATGGACTTATTGAATAGATAAGTTACACCCACTCAGCGATCTATTTAATAGGCCCATTAAATATATCAGTTTAGAAGCCCAGCAGCTATCATTTTGTTGTTTTTCTAGTCCAAATCCGAGTCGAAAGCGTCTTTGAGTTGGACTTCAGCTGAAAATATCCCAAGTGAACCTGAAATTACCAATTGCAAACTCAATCTGAGCCCGAGTCTGAGTCTAGGTCCATGTAGGGTGAATATTTGATTTCCCGAAAAAGGGAGTTTCGTTTGTATTTATAAGAAGGCTTATTACAAACTAATGATCAAATAGTTACAACAGAAGCAGAGGGAAGACCCTCTTTGTTTTATGTGGGGACTTTTAGGTGGCTACAGGATGCTTCGCTCGATGCTCGTGTCGAGTCTGCTTCCCTTGGACCGTTCGAATGAGGTTGCTGGAGAGCTTCAGTTCGCAGTAGAAGCTCAACTTGAGAGAGTTCGGGTCTGTTTAGTTCGCCGGCGATCGGAGCTCGGAACTAAGCAGTAGTGCTGCAATGCAAAGAAAGTTGTGCAGAGAGCTTGGTCTCAACTCTTTTTCCTAAGTTTTGCGACCCCTTTTCCAGTGTGCCGGAAGAGGCTTTCAAATGGGAGAAGGACAACTTGACTCCTCCTTGAATTGTGGGATGTGACCACATCTTCTTCAGAGACGTCTAGCTGTTCCTCGAAAACATGATCGGTCATTCCAGGGATTGTGCTTTATGTCCTGTCACCTACGATGGGAAGGCCCATTCTTGTATGTGAGGCAACAAACGACTACTATCCGAGTGGATTTGACCAGCATTAATGAACCGCATTTATGAGTCCGCAGATCGATGAGGCGTCTGTCCGATCACCAGTACTGTGCGTGACCGCCCGGCGTGCTTTGAGCACGACGCTTTCTCCTTTCCGGTCAGGAGAGGCGGTGAAGTAGGTGTACAGTACTCGAGTGAGTCTAGCCAGCTTGCCGAGTGCCGGCGGACCCAGCTCCAGACTCAGACAGCCGAGGTGAGTCGCATTTATGAATGCTCAGGTTGACTCGACACCTGTCCAGCTCCTTCGCGCTGTGCGCACTGTGGGCGGCCGTTTTGACGGCCCTGGGGTACTGTGCTCTCTCTCCCTTTGGGTCGAGAGAGGTGGGAAGGCCCACCTCAGCACGTGGGGTAGTGGATACCCAGCTGTACTGACGGTTTTGGGGCTTGCTGGCGGATTCGACTCCGAACTCGGGCAGGCGAGTTGAGCGAAGAGCAAATTTCCGCCATCCTGATCGCTCCTGACTCATGCTGGCGAGTCGACCGTTAGGCGAACCTGGATTTGAGCACAGTCGACGTCTACGCGGTTTAGGTCCGTGTCAGAGAACTGGGCGTGCGAACTCTTCTCGTAGACAAATTCCCTGTAGACCCATAGAGGTATTTTTTACCGTCTACAAGACCCCCTTCAAAGTTTTCGGACCTAAACTGGCTTGCGTGTGGTCTGGAACACTTTGAATGAAGAAACTGTTGGCGAAGCAAGTGCCTTCGATTTCTCTTAGGATTTTTAGCAAACCCTCAGCTATCAACGGGTTTGATGTGCCTTTACCGATTACCGTTTGAATCGGGCTAGCCATACTATTCTCCTCAGTATGATGAGTTGTCGAACAGTTTCTCTTAGGCTTAATGCTAAGATTTCTGCTCTAACCCTTAGCCATCTGGGGCGTGGGTTTCAACCGTTTAAGCAAGGTCATTCTTTTGGCTTTGTTCGTAATTTTACCTTTGAGGGCGAATGCATCGTCAAGGCGAAATTAATTTTTGAGAGCCAATTCTCGCGCGACTCGTGGGGTTATGCCCAGTATTTGCAGGCGAAACCCTTCCTTTTGTAGGCGGAACCGGATCTGACGAGAGATGAGCCACGCGTCTGCTGACAGAGCCTCGTGCTTCCCAGCTAAGACATTGGATCGTGGCGATCGTGACTTGACAGCACGATCCTCGTGCGTTTCGCCCTGCGACGTATCGTGGCCGTGGTTCTCGGACTCAACCGTCGGATTCCAACGCTAATCTCGGTCCCTTCGATGCACTGAGGGTGATCTGGGCCGTCGAATTTGATCGTGGCCCCGTTTCCTGTCCGTTAGGGTTTTCGCCTTTCGAGGGCAGTCGTGGTCACGTGGGCAACTCCGCCCTTCTAAATCAGCCGTTTTCCTCCATTGGGATTTACCGTGCTTTCAAATCTCGAAAGGGAACATCCAAGGAAAGAATTCCCGCTTCCTCTTACAATGGCTCCGAAACCTAAGAGGTGCAAAGTGAGGGGTGCAGGTCCCGGACGTTACTCCGACCGTCTCTCTGCCGGCATGCCTGCTGGTGCTCTGGAGTCGTGCCCAGGTACGTTGATGGATTCGTTGGGCGATCCCTTGCAGGCCTTAGGCGTCGGATTTAGGGAGATGAGTGTTGCTTATTTCCCCGATTTGGGGCAAAGTTTGCCCTATTTTGCCTTTAGAGGATGAGTACTGTCCCCGCGGGCGAATTCTCCAGTGGGGAGGAGACGAACCCCTTTTTCGTAAGGCGAGTTCGGCCCTTCCCATTAGAGGGGAGTGTAGTCCGTAGGGACAGACCTCGTTCGAAGTGGGTTCCCCCTTTCGATAGGCGATTTCGCCTTCCTATGTTCGATGGGCGATTTCACCTCTACAGCGGATTTTGTCTCAATTGACTTTCTATTTCTTGTTGCAGCGACCTTCCCTGATGAGGCTTTCCCGGAGGGTGTGGCCGTTGGCCACGTCGGGGCTAAGAGCTACACGGCCCCTTCTCGTTTTCCCTCGTTGGCTCCAGTACCCTTGTTCACTGCTGATAAGCTGCATGGTCTGGTACAGAGGGTCACGGATGGTCATCACTTGACCCTGCGCGAGCTGACGACCAATGCGGCGCTGACAGATGAGGCCAGGGCAGAGCTGCCGAAACCTCAATTTCTGTTCGGCGACTCCATGACCGACCCTTCTGCCCTGTTGCTCAAAGAGAGCCGGTGGTTCCGCACGGTAGAGGGGACCCATTATTACCTCCCCAGCATGCCGAGAGGGTTTTCGATTGTTGAGCTGCGGTCCCTCGCGATTCCTCGGACGATGAACTGGGATTTGACCCCCACTCAGGACGGGGTCACTTGTGGCGTCTTTACGGGTTCTACGGCTGGGTATGGAGTGGAGAGCTCATGTAAGCGCGTGACGGGTCTGCGCCCTGGCTTAGTGTCTGCTGAACCGCCCGTGGGGGAATCGACAGCGGTGGCGGAGACCTTCCGTCACCGCTTCTTCCGAGTCGGCGGAAGCTTTCCCCCGAAGGACTTTAGAGCCCCGGGGTGGGTTTACTCTGCACCTGGCAGTGACACGTGGTGGTCCAAGATCACCGACTATGTTTTGGCCGAGAATGCTGACCTCAAGGGCACAGAGCTGTATGTGGCCATCGAAGCCACTCGACATGGCCTGCGGATCAACGCTTCTCAATTCCATAGCATTCTGGAATTGTATTGTGCGGAAAGCGGCACATTTTTCACCCCCAACGGTGAACTTGGTATCACCCCCTTCGAGATGCACGACGTGTCAGGGCTCCCAATGGTGAGCTTGGTATCACCCCCTTCGAGATGCACGACGTGTCGGGGCTGCCTCTGGGAGACTTTCCTTATGAGGAGTACGTCCCCGATCAAGATGAGATCAATCAGCTGTCGGACCATTCCCCTCTGGCGGTTGAGACTCTGTGGGAGTTACTGTGCCACTTCCACATATGCCTCAGTACCTTAGGGGCCTCAGATCATAAGGGGAAAAAGAAGAAGACCCCTGGGATCAGCCACAAGAATTGGGCTGATTATCTGTTCCCAGGGAACGATGTCAAGGGTACGCCTGCTTTCCCGTTAGGCGCCTGTGATGAACCCGAAGTGGAGGCGAGGATAGCTAAAGAAGGAAGCACCGTGATTCTCGACCGCGACGAAGGCGGATTTAAGTCTGGTACGGTTCTTCACTCATTCCATCATCAGGCGAAGTTTCTCATCTCAGGGAAGGCGCTGCTCGCGGGGTACCTCATGTTATGGATAAAGAGGTGCGTAATTCCCACTCACTCTTTCGAGGCTCTTCCTGTGGAGGTCGTGTATCCGGCGGTTTGCCTGGCTCAGCACGGAAGTTCTTATTCCCTTGTATCAAGCGACGATAGCGTGCATCCATCGGGGGCAATTGCGTACTTATAACGCAGCCAATTCTGCCGTGTGTCGGTATCCTTTTGACGACGGGGAACGGAAGAATGTTATCAGAACCCCCCAATCCATAGGTGGGTCTGCGTACACATACTTTTGATGCCGTGCTTCGGTTATACCACTGCTAATGTTTGATGGCTGGCCCGGTCGGCGCTTCAGCGGCGAAACAAGTTTGTCCCCTTCGTGTCCAGCGTTTGAGAGGTGCTCTGGAAGTGCAAGGGACAAATCCCGATACAAGGAAGCGCATTCCCACTTCGGGCACTATAATTTTTCCGTCGATCTTTTCCTTACTCAGCGGGGGGTGGATATAGGAGATCTCTCGTGAGACGCGCGACGGGCGGATCACCACACAGTCCATTACGCCCGTGGGCCTTTCGCTGCCGTTGGTGGCTGGACATTCGACCGGGGGTATCACGTTCTGAGAATAGGCTTCCACATGTTATTTCGAGCCGTTAATCCCTTTGCCAGGTGTCGCCCGCCAGTTGGGTACGATCAATGTATGTGGGCCAACGCCAACCCTCGCCTACATTCGAAGCGAGGACTGCACACGGTGACGGAGCTCGGGGGTGGTTTCTGGACCCATGCTGCGAGTACTCAAGCTCGTTTTGAGCTGCCTGCGGAAGGACCGCGAGTTACACCATACGCTCTTGGTACTGTCAGGTTGGTATCGGCATTAAGGGGTCTAGCTGCTACCCTGCACAACTTCTGGTCCAAAGCTCATGTCTGGCGGAACGCGATCGTCCATCAGGGGCTCTCTGCCTTTCAAGAGAAGGGGCCACCAAACTGCCACGGAGTTGTTCTCGGAGATCCGTGGGAGGACGACGGAGAGGCTTCGATCTGGTGCGTGAATCCGAGGCTCCGATATTCGAGCTCCAGTCCAGTGGTCGCAATCGGACAAATCGGGGCGGCCTCTGCTATCCCGGGGTAGCTCCGTTCTTCTCGAGGCTCCGGCGGAGGCAGTTGGCCTGAGAGTTCCCGGGCCGGAGGCGGCTAAGAAGTCCGTCAGTGATGCGATGCGGAAACCGTGGACCGAGCGGCGGTAGTCAGGATGATGTTCCCCAGGTTGGTGATCCCCCGCGAGCGGCGACGTCTGGATCGTATTGGCTCCGTCTCTTCTGCCCTGCATCGGGCGGGCGGCTCCGGGGACTATGAGAGACGTCCTCCGGATCTGGTGATGAAGTGTTAACCGGACGGGAGCTCCAGCGGTTCCTGTGCCGCAGAGGAGGTAATTTTTCTTTTGCAATAGCGTCTTTGATCGCAACGATGATCTCATACCTTTTTCCATTGGTATTGGACCTATGCAGGTGCGATTGAGAAGATGATTTCCATTCCTTCTGACGAGGAAGGGGAGGCTGGAGATGAGGAGGGGCCCACCGGCTCGGGTAAGTGTGTGTTTTAGCATCACTTTTCTTCTCGTACTCGACTGTTAGTAGGGTCCCTTTCGAGGGGTCTCTGTCAACCTCTTTTTTTTTTGTGCATTTGTAATTGACCCTAACCGTGAAGTCGCAGGTGAGGAGGATCCTCAC